CTAGCCGGGAGGGGGGATTTCAAAACCTTAAAAAACAAACAGGTTGAACTGGACATTCTCCAAGGTCCCTTCTGGCTTTAATATTCAGGAATTCCATAAGAGCTTAGAAAATGTTCTAATTACACCCCATATAAGAGCCCTGGTACAACGTGGACATTGGTGAAAAGAAGGGAAAGAAAGAGTGAAAATAAATACAGAGTAGAAACAGTAGAGCTGTTCTCAGCTTGTGGCAAATCTGGGGAGATCCAGGCCCCTTGTTGGAGATGGGAATTTAGAAGCAGTGGCTTTAAGGAAAATGATGTGGAACTAACTGATTCTTAAGGGACTAAAGTCACCAAGACTGCTTCTGGGAGCTAGGAGATCAGTTGCTTCACTTTACAGTGGCACCATTAATGGGTGATCAGTAGAGAGGAAAAGACAGTGGGTGGGATGTGGAGGAAAGACAGGCTGTGGGGTTAGATAGACATGGTTTCTAATCCTGGCTCTGCCTTCATCATAGCCTCTCCATGCCTCAGTCTTTTCATCTGTAGTAGAGAGAAGATAATATCTATGATATGATACTATGAGAATGGAGATACTATGTATATAAAATGCTTTAGTATAATGCCTGTTACTTGGTAAGTAGGTTGTAAATAGTAGCTGCTGTTATAAGTGAATGAAACTAAGTGTTTTAAGTGCCTGCTATATGAAAGGACCCAAGGTTGATGCTTTAAAAAGTGTTATTTATTTAATGCTCACAGCAACACTTGTATTATATAGATGAGGAAAATTAACCTTAGAAAGGCAAAATTAGTTCATGCATTTATCCTTTCTTCCAGTCTGTTCATTCAAGAAGCATATGAACCTCTGCGCTGTGCCAGACACTGTGGGAAGGGCTGAGAATTCACAGACACAGCCTCTTCCACCAGGAAGTTCACAGTCCAGGGCCAAACAGCTGAGAATGATAGCCTTTGGTGAGTACCTCCTATGTGCCGGGCACTGTTCTAAGCACATTGTATTAACTAAAATGAATTAACTCATTTGATTCCCATAACTGGGGCGAACCATTTTACAGATGAGAAAACTAAGGCAGAGGGAGGTTAAGTAAATTGCCTGAGGTCACACAACTAGGAAGGGGCAGAGTTGGGATTTAAATCCAGGCAGATAGGCTCCAGAATCTGAGTTCCGAACCACTTCACTACAGCTCCCTCTTAGCAGGTGGTTTAGAGTCTCATCTCTGACTGCAGAGTCCCTTAACACCAGGATGTGTGTATATCCCAGGATGCCAGCAGTAGCCCCCTCACGCTTCTGTATTCTCCTTGAACCTTGTCTTTTGAATTGATTGCCTAGCCTCCTTTGATTCCTCAAGGCTACAAGACTGCTTTTCACCAAACTGTAAGGCAGGAGAGTAGGTGGGAACCTCCAGGTTAGCAGGGAGTCGTTGCTGAGACAGGGAAAGAGAAGTCTGGTGGAGCCAAATAAGGCCCGTAGCTGAAAAGCCTGAGAGGGTTCTGGCTTCAGCTAGGTCAGATCTAATTCTTGTTCTGAAAATGAGGGCATTAAAATGCTTTTGGTCCAGTGCTGGGGAAAGCAGCTTTGATCTAACTGGTTGCTGCTTGGAGGCCAGAGATTCGCTAGAGGAGGGCGGGTAAATTCAGATGTCTAAGGGGCCAGGCACGTAGCCTACGCAAGAGAAAAGATCTGGGCGTATAAAAATTTTCCCTCTCTCTTAATACTACTATAAGGAAAATAATAGCACAAGGACAACTGTCACTTGACTCCCGTATCAGGGAGACAATAGGGAATGTTAGGGACTGGGGCAGACTGGAAAATGTCTAAAGAGGGAGCCATTACTCGGCACTGGTTGATTGCTGGCATGAAGCAATGGGACCTACTTTTCCAAAAGGAGTAGAAATCTGGGTTTTTATGAGAAATCTACATTTTCTAGTTATTGGCAACTACTTCTTTTTAACAACTGTAACAACAACAACACACTACTGTGGGCCGAGTAAATGTTTCTGCAGGCCAGATTCAGGATGCAAGCCCCTAGTAGGCAACCTTGGAGCAAGATGTTCTCTTTCAGGAGCTTTTGGAGAGAAGCCAGCAGGATTTAGCCTTGGGGATGAAACAGGAAAGAGAGGGCAGGGGGAAGAGAAAGCCAGGGGACCAAAGACAAAGCAAAAATAGTCACATGTGGCAATGACTGGTGTCTGCCATCTTGCACCTGTCTCAGGTGACATCCAAGTGGCTCTCGTGTCATAGGTAGCCTAGAATACAGGGGAAGGAAGGCAGGAATGCCATGATGAACCAGTTCCTTTAAAAGTACACCGGCTCAATTTCTTGCTCTATGTGCCTGAGCCGTCTTGTGCAAGAGTATACTGATTTTGACCGTTTTTTTGTTCTTCTTTTTGAGGCAGACAAATATAAGCAGCCATGACATGTTCTCACCACTTGGGCAAGGACTCGAAAAAGGGCAAAGACAGCCTGCAACTCCAGAGGCCAAATTCAGGGTTAGTTTTCTCTCCTCCAGTTAACATTAACCTTTAGGTAAACGGAGCCACTCCTCCTCGAGGGCTTGGTAAACAGGAGCCGTTGTGGAGGGCTGGGGAGTGGACCTGGCCGTTTACCTGGAAGGAAGGGAACAGCCCAAGGTCAAGATTTCATGTAGCTTAGTCCTCTTGAACTTCGCCAAGAATGTGCCTGTTCACTGGGAAAAACCGTCTCACAAGGTCCGGGTCTCGTCGGTCGGTGGCACTGAGCACAACTCTTTCTCCTCCTGCTCAGATGTCACCATAAAGGGGCTTGGGTGTGAGTGGCAGCCCTCTTCAGCAAGAGAGAGAAACAAGTGGCAACCTTTGGCAACTTAATAATTCTGTCTTCCCTCTCTAGGGGGTGGTTGTGAGCATTCCATGGGATGGGGTGACAATTCTTCAACAAGCCTAAAGAACTATACCCACATAAGAGCTTATTATTAATTATTCATAGGTAGCCTCCAAGTTAGATCCCCCTCCCCCCGCCGCCAATTTTGGTTTGGGAAAGGGGCAGAGAGAGGTGGAAGGGTATAGTAGTAATGTTAAAAACATGGCCGTAACCTATAAAAGTTGTCTGGACTTAGCAACTTTGGGTACAGAGAGGAGGTGATTCTCAAGAAACTGTGTGACTCTGGTGAGCCTGCTATAATTGCATATTGGTGGTGCTAGTCCAAATTGTTGGAATCCTTCTGGGAAACGACATGGTGACATAAATAAATAAGTATAAATAAATAAATAAAACCAGAAGCTACATAATTTTCATATTTATTAGCCTAGTAATCTTGGTTCTGGCTATATATCTTAAGAAACTAATCTTAAGGAAGAAAAGGCCTTTTATATAAGAAAGTGTGCATTTTAGAGCTATTTATGTAACAGCAAAATTGGAAGCAACTTACATTGCCAACAATAGGGCAACAGTTGGTTAAATTCAAACACATTCCTTCAGTGGGATATTATTGCACAACCATTAAAAACCAGAAGTATGTAAACTCTGCCACAACCAAAAGGATGTTTATGATATGATATTAAGTGGGCAAAAAGCAGATACAAAATTGTTTATATAGTATGGTTACAATTATATAAGAATAATTATGCTTAGAAATTAAGAATAATAGAGACTACACAAAGGGGCCGAAGTTGCTATGTTAGGGTAGAAAAGCTACGATGATTTCCCACCCTACCCTTTTTCTAAGCTTCCTTTAATGTTACAGTATTCCAATAATAATAATAATAATAAATTAGAATAAATTGTAATAAAGATATATATATATATTTTTTGCTGAGGAAGGTTTGCCCTGAGCTAACATCTGTACCAATCTTCCCCTATTTTTAATGTGGGTCACTGCCACAGCATGGCCGCCGACAAGTGCTGTAGGTGCGCACCTGGGAACCGAACTCAGGCTGCCAAAGTGGAGCACGCTGAACTTAACCACTAGGCCACAGGGCTGGCCCCTGTAATAAAGATATTATTAGTATATTTTTTAAAAAACCAAAGAGTTTGTGAGGGAAGAACAGGTAGTAAGTCACATGAGGACTACGGCCATCAAAGGAGAGGGGTTGAAATGGTGAGCAGGTTGGCAGGGTATTTGGACGTGAGAGAGGAGAGGAGAGCACCAGAAAATTGGCTTTATGGTCATAGAAGCCTTGGATGTGAAGGGGATATGAATTAGTTAATTGGAACTGGGTAGTTCTGGGTTACCTAAAGGCAAACTAAGCACACTCCTAAGGGTTAGTGAAGCAGGGGCATTAAAAACCATTCAAAAAAAATTTTGATATTTGAAATTTCAAGCAAACATCAGAGAAGTCATCATGAGACTTAGGGGGATGAAAACTTTGCTGGACTTCCTCATCGGTGTTTTACGATTTGGTCTTGTTTTTATTTTGAATCGGTTGGTCTGGGAGACGTTACAGCCTTTTCTGTGGTTGGGGTCTCTGAAGGTCTGCATCTGGCTCTGGGCTTGAATCTTCTTCAATCAGCTACAAGTCAGTCCTATACTCCATGAATGCCGGTTGCATTCACTCTCAGGCCAGCAGATTACACGTGGGAGTTTCCGGGCAGTGCAGAAACAGGTAACAGGCCTCCTCAAAGCACCTCATCCGCACCCACGGGGACTACCTCCCTCAGCTGGGAAGGCTTAGGGCTTGGTTCTGAGGCTGTCTCCAGACACTCACTCACTTGAATAATAAGATTGTTTACCAGGTGGTGCCATGCGTAGCATCTCAGCCTGCTCCTGAAAACCCCAGGAGAGAAAAACCAAGGCCAGTGTTGGCTAACTGAGTCCCCAAGGTCATAGTCAGTGGTAAAAGTTGGAATCAGCTCCCTCCCGAGTTTGCACCAACTGTAGAGGTGGGATGGCGTTTTATAAGCTGCAACCTGTTGCTTGGTCTCAGAGCGCTGGTCCACCACCCACATGAGCAAGGGAGGGGGTCCCCCTGCAGGTGGCTGCAAGTAACTGCTGCTCCCTCTGCCCTCTCTCTAGGGGGGCCCAGTATTTCCCCAGAGTCTCCTGCCAGGCTGGAGAGATGCTCCAGTGCCTGCCTTTGGAAGGCAAAGAAGGACCAGAGTCAGAAAAGAGGGAGGACCATTCCATGGAAGATCCGAAAGAAGTCGTCACCCTGGCTTTCGTGAGAGAGAACACTGGGACGCAAAAGGGGCTTCAGAACGCCCAGCAGCAAGGCAAGAAGAGGAAGAAAAAGAGGTTAGGATTGAAAGATGGGGAATGGGGATCTGTGTTGGCGAGAGCAGGAGGGATCTGGAAGGAAGGAAGCCTTGGCTGCTAATAAGAGGGTGAAGGAGAAACCTTGCACTGAGACTGTCAAAATCACACCCCTTTCGGTTCATATAACAAGAACCCACTTTTAATGATCTGTTTTATAGAATCAAAGAATGGTGTGTATAAGCTAAAACTACACCTTGTCCTCATCTTCATTCTTTTTGTGTTTAGAATGCCGTTTTTTTTTTAATTGTGTGGGGAGAGATGATTTCCTTGTTTTAAGAAAGTAATAGTACTCTGAGCCCATGTTTTGTGCCACTCGGTAACCCTTTGGATCCATGTCTTCAGTATCAGGGACACTCAAACCAGGCTTAAGTGTGGCGGGTTAGGTTTCACGCAGCTCTACCTGGGACAGGGTGTTCTCGTGTGCAGTCACTTGTTCTGGCAAGTGTGTGTGTCTCTGTCTTTCTGCTTTCTTTTTTCTCTTTTCCAGATGATTGGTGATCAATCTATCCAGCTGCCGATATAAGAGCGGTGAGCACCTGCAGTCAAGGAATCTGCCATGGGGACCCACCAAATTCCCCCAAGGGGTTGGGAAGAGTCACTCTTATATATTCTTGAGGATGAAAAGGGGTGTCTCCAAATCCTGTTCTTTGCTTCTTCCAGCTCAATTAACTATGTGAGGAAGTTGGGAATCTCATTCCAAGAAAATATGGGTTTTGAGCACAACAGTTGTACTTCAGCTATCTATAGTTCTTATGTATGGCTATTTGGGGGATCTGACGGTAGAGAAGGCAGCTGTTGCTGCAATCAATGGCTCTTTTTTAGAGCACAAGTGACAAAGTGGCAGTCTATGGGCTGAAGATGACCTACAGAGCTACTTTGTACTACAGAGCAGTGTTATTGTTATTTTAATTTTGAATTTGAATGCTTTAGGCTGGTGCTGACTCTCCTGATCACTGCAGGCACTTCTTCCTTTTCAGGCCCTTGAAGGCATTTGAGTTTGTGTTGGAGTCAGCTCCTGGTTATTAATACTAACAGGGACAGGAGAAGAAGGATGTGATAGCATATATGTGGTTTTGAAATACATTGTACAATGTTTTTCTGTCAGTTTACCTTACTTATTAAGCTTGGTTCTGGCTGACGTTGAGGATAATTTTATATTCCCTGAACATTCATTGCTTAGTGTTTGGAGGAAAGTCAGAGGCCTGCTTCCTGGCAGGGGGAAGCCAGGGCAGGTGGAATATTCACCTCAGATACCTTCCATGGGGATCACTGGGCGAAGGCTGCATTCTTCAATAGCTTTCAACTCTCTGTGTTCCTTTCTCGGCAATGGTATGTCCACACAGGGCAAGATGGCTTCCAGTCCCAAGAAGCAAAGGTGTCTCACTTCAGTGCTTGGTCTGGGAGCACCTAGAAACGGAACCTCCTCACCCCATGCCCTTCCTCCACTTCCCGGGCTAACAGGCCTTTCTTTTTCCAATTCCATGGCAGTGCGCAGGGCCGCCCAACAGTATGGCCTTCGAGAAGGAGGGGAAAATGAGGACTGGACTCTCTACTGGACTGACTACTCCGTGTCGCTAGAGCGAGTGATGGAAATGAAAAGTTACCAGGTATCTGGGTCCAAGCTGCTCCTCAGGATGAGTGTGGCATCTACCCTATGGACCCCTCACTTTTATAACTGTCCCCCGAAGGGATCTTGTGAGTACTCCCATGTCCTCCATTGTTCCTGAACTCCAACTTCCTTTGCAGAAAATCAATCACTTCCCAGGGATGAGTGAAATCTGTCGCAAGGACTTGCTGGCCCGGAATATGAGCCGCATGTTAAAGATGTTCCCCAAAGATTTCCACTTTTTCCCTAGGACCTGGTGTCTTCCTGCTGAGTGAGTGCCCACCTGTGCCCCCTTCTTCACTACTCCCTGGGGTTTACATCTTGCCCCTGATTCCCCCCTTGCTACTTTCCCTTTCCATAGGATCTCCCATCTCTCTCTCCTATTCAGGAAGATAAGGGATAAAGGGTGTGTCCAAGGTTGGAAAACACCAGGCTCTACCTATAAAATTAGATGACATTTAGGGGCTGGGTGCCTTGGAGCCTGTGCCTGCAGCTGGGATGAGAATTTGTTCTGACCCTGAAAGCTGTTGATCTTGAACTTGTTCCAACCTTTTAACTGTGCAGTTTCTGGTTTTTTAAGGACTGTGAGCACTTCTGGAGGGAGTGAGCTAATGGTTAGCACCCAGGTTAGGAGCAGGGAGGGACATCTGACCTTTGTCCCATGGCACTGCCATGGACGGCGGTCAGCCTTTCCTCATCTCTGGTCTCACTTTATCCATTTCACTGGACATCCATTCCTGGTACATGAAATACTCTGGACCACACCACCAAGAAACAGGAGAAATGTGAGATGACATGAATGTGACCTGGGTACGATCCAATGTTTGAGATGAGGTGGAGGGGGGCAGAGAAGCGTCGCCATCAGAATTATACTCACACGACAAGGGCCCCAGAGGAATTCCACTCTCCCCTCTCCCTCCAGTGCTTTCCCAAACCAAGAGCCCTGGGGTTCCCAGCCTTTCCTATTTGTCTGGAATAACTTTCAGGGCATAGCAGCAACTTAGAAGGAAATGTGTTTGCCATCAGGTCAACAGGCACCTCCAGATTTCATGTCCACTGAGAAACAGTGCAGATAAGTGACTTTTCCAGTGGTCACAAGTCTCCTTTGAGTTAAAATGCAAAACAAGAAGTATAGCAAGGCTGAGATTTATAATCCATTAAGTTGTTTTTTTTCTTTCTTCTGAATGTGCTTTCTTCAAAGTACGTTCCAAGATAGTATTTGCCCTCACACTCTGGCTGGAGTGGAGGTGTTAGAGAGGAAAAGCTGAAGCCCAGAGTGGGGGAAGAGACTGACTGATCCAAGGTCATATCATCTACCAGGGCTTGAGCCAGATCCAGAACTCCAGGTCTCCTATCTGCAAACCCAGAAAGCCAAACGACTCGGCTCACGGCCACCGTTATGGGGTGTGCAGCATGTATCCACACCTTGCCTGCATTATGTCCTGTATGAGATAGGTGTCATTATCCTCATTATGTAGGTGATGGAATTGAGGCTTAGAGAGGTCAAGTCCTTGCAAAGAGTTACACAGCTGGTAAGTGGTGTTGCCTGGGTTTAAATCCAGGCCTGAATTCCTTCCAAAGCCTACCCTCTGTCCACTGTGTGTGCTCTCCTGTCTCTCCTATTACCACACCTCTGTCTCTCAGGTGTGGGCATCTGTCTGTCAACTCCAAGGCTTTTGTCATCTTAGACAGCTTTTTAAAAAATATATATCTATAAAGAGCTAGCCTTCCTTTTCACTGCTCCCCAGCTAAAGGTGAATCTCGTTCTCTCCCTGCCCTGGTAGCTGGGGAGATTTGCAGAACTACAGCAGGTCAAGAAAAAATAAGACATACATTTGTAAGCCGGATTCGGGCTGCCAAGGGAGAGGTATATTCATCACCCGGACAGTGAAAGAAATCAAACCAGAGGAGGATATGATCTGTCAGCTCTATATTTCAAAGGTACTTTCTCACTGTGATTATTTATCGCCCACAGCAACCTCAGGCTGGAGCTCCACTGGACCGAACGTGAAATGAGGGAAGGGAGGCAGGGTGGGGTGAAGCCGGATCCTGTCTTCTGCCTTGACTTTGTCAGACCAAGGCTTCTGACCAGGGATGTGACACGTGCCTGGGCCAGAGCATCTCTTGCCCTTGGACCCTTGTCAGTTGGTCTGGCCCTACCAGGCTGGCCCCTTGCCTGTAACAGATGACAGCTGGGAAAGCACCTTTGGATTGTGGAGGCCCCACCTCATTTGGGAGAGGGGAGTGGTCCTGGAGAGATAATGGTAACCAGCTTTACTCCATGACTGGAAGTCAGAGGTCACAGTGGTATAGCCCACTGCAGGGAGGGAACCGTCTAGAAGTGTGCATGGAGGGGGAAAGACTGGCCAGCATCGCAGGTCAGCATCGCAGGGAGAACTCTTGCAGAACTGCAACAGTAACATAGCCCTGGATGGTGACAACATGTCCTTCATCACAGGACTTTTTAATGTTATTTTGTTTCGTTGCCAGGAGATCTCTTGGGGGTGGTTACTTGTGCCATTTGACAGGAAACTGAGGCACAGTGTGGCTTAGTGACTTCCAGAACGTCACATGGTGGGTCACAGAGCCCAAATCCCGTTGTCCCCCTCCCCACCCCTTGCCAAGCCTGTACTCTGTAACACCAGGCAATGTTGGGCTGACTCCATGAAAACAAGATGGGGCGCTAATGATCTCGATGCTTGTGTGACTTCTTTTCTCTCCTCCCAGCCCTTTATCATTGACGGGTTCAAGTTTGACCTACGGATTTATGTGCTAATGACATCCTGTGACCCTCTCAGGATTTTTGCGTACAATGAAGGACTGGCGCGCTTTGCCACGACCTCTTACTCCCACCCTTGCACAGACAACCTGGTGAGCTCAGAGGACACCTCCACCCCCTCCCTTAGTGTGATAAAATATCCTAGTTAAATCTGCATGCTCAAAACATTGGCTGTGGCTGTCATTGGCTGCACACTTACTGTGTGCCAGGTTACATGCGTTCTTTCCTTCAGCCCTCCCTGGAGCCCTCAGCAATAGGGACTGTCATCTCCATTTTACAGATGAGGAAGTTAAAACCCAGAGAGTTTAAGGGACTTGTCCAAGGTCACAGAACTAGGAAGAGGTGAGGCTGGGACTCGTGGCCAGGTCTGCCTGACTGCAAAGCTAGTGCCACAATTCCGTGGTAGGAGAGAAGGCCATGGGCGAGCCCTCGTCCCTCTCCCCACACCCCTGGATCCCAGGACTCCTGAAGTGTCCCTCAGGCAGGACGCCACCCAATCTCAGGTGGAACTGGAGTTTCTTCTGATCCAGGCTGTAAGATACCCCTTCTTACTTCCTCTGTTTGGCCAGTTAAAGTAAGCCCTCAGACTTTCCCTTTCTTTTCCAGCTTTTTAAGCCCCAGGGGCCATGGGAGGGCGCAGAGAGGAAGTGGCCTTCCTCCTGACCCACAGACTTGTGTCTCTTTCCCAGGAGGATATCTGCATGCACCTGACTAATTATTCCATCAATAAGCACAGCTCCAATTTCGTTCGAGATGCTCACTCTGGCAGCAAGAGGTAAGGAAGCGACTCTACTTTTCTTTTCTTTCCTTGCTGGTCTCAGAGCTGCCCTCTGTGGTTCTACCCAGACCCTGTCTGTCCCCATCAGTGTTTCCATCTTGGGTCACATGGTCTCAGAAAACATTTCTTTGCCTCTAAACCCAGAACAGACGCCTTAGTCTCTGCCCTCTGGCTGTTAATCATTAAAAGAAGGCCACATCGTAAACCCTAGGAGGTGGGGAGGAGGCGAGATAAACATGCTCTGTTTCCCCAGCAGGATACACACACACACACACCAAAACGTACTCCTATTACAGTTGGCCCTTCTGACATTTCCAAACCAGCAGATAGTTATTGATTGCTGGTCTGCCACGGGAGAAGGACATGCCAGGCAGTTGTTCCTTTGCCTGTGGGTCCCTGGGGTGTTGCTTCAATAGAGACTCTCAAATGATGTGTCACGATGCCCTGTTGTGACATGACATGTGGCTAGCTGGCTTTAAGGTTCCCCAGAAGAAGGCGGGAAATGAGAGGAACACATGAGTATCTTCCCAAGGGGCTTTTACAAATGCGTTATCATCTAATCCTGTCTCATCTGAGTTTTAAGGAAAAGGGGGACTGAAGAATGTGAACGTGACCAGGCCAAAGGGGAAAGGGATAGGAAGTATTTGCGGAGGCCTCCTGGGTGTTGGGGCCTGTGCCGGCTGCTTTGTGTGCATTTTTTTTCATCGAAATTTTCACGACACTGTGGCAGAGGTGTTATAATCTATTCTTTGTAGGTGGCGAACTATGAGTTAAGTCCCATCTCCATTTTACAGATGAGGAAACCGAGTGAGGTTAAGTAAGTTACCCAAGGGCACACAGCTATAAATGCTAGAGCAGGATGAGAAGGTAGGTCTGCCTGATTCTAAGGTGCATGCTCTTTCTCCTGCACCAGGCTTCAAAGGACTGATAAATAGGCAATCTGTTTGGCTTCAGAGCATCCGAGAGGCACGTGAAATTTCACGACTTCCTTGGTGGCAGAGTTCCAAAAAGCAAATGGAAAATCACTAGATTAAGCCTGCTTGAAGGGAACATGTTGGGCTGGGAGGAGGCCATCTCCCCTTTCTCAGAGGGCGCCAGCCACCCGTGAAGCTTCACTTCTTGCGTGAAGCTCTCCCACCTCCTCTTCTCCCCACCTGGACAGCAGGCACCAGCTGAGCCTCCTGCCTGGTTGCCTGTTGAGCATCAGTGCTCAGTGAGGCCTGGCTTCCAGTCCTAGCTCTGACTCTTGCCAGCTGAGTAAACTTGAGTGAGTCCCTTCATCTCTCTGAGCCTCCATTTCTTGGTCTATAAAATGAGGGCAAGGAGACACCCTCTCCTGCCCTGTCCTGCCATGGCTTCATGCCATGCCCCCACCTCATAAGGTCACAGTGAGACTCAAATGACCTATGATAGCAGCATGGACAGTGCTTGTGGTTACTGTTATTTTTTAAGGACTAAGGTCTAAGGTCTAAGGGCATGTAATCAAAGGGCCCTCATTTCTCTCCTCTTATGAGAACTGACACCCCAACAATAGGCTTTGGCCCCTCAGGCCATGATGGAGGGATGTTATGGGGCGCTAGGACTAAGGTGAGGGTGTGCAGCATTGTTCTGCCACCCTCCATCCCCGCTTCTTCCTCTTCCTTGTCCTCACATCTCTCTCACCCCAGATCTGGCCTCACCTTCTGCTCTTCTCCATCTACCTCTCTGCTGGAGCGGTCATCTGCTCCTCTGCCCTCCATCCTGCCCTCGCTTGGCTCAGCATCTCTCTCCTGATCTCCAGGCGCATCTCTCCTCAGCTGCTCCTGGATGTCTCCCTGTTTCCTCCAACTCAGCATTTCCCAATTTTCCTGCTCCTGGCTTCCACCGCAGCATTCCAAACTGGTTCCCCTGCCCACCTTCCCCATCTCCACCTTCTAATCTGCAGGATTAGAGCTTGGTGTCATCTTGGGTGTTTCCTTTTCCAGTGAATCATTGAATCCTGAAGATTCCTTCTTCAAATGTACCTGCTTCCCCACTTTTCCATCAGGCCCAGACCTCGCTTCAGCCTCAGACGTGATGGTTGCATCGGCCTCCTCTCTCTTCTCTCTAGCTCCAGGCACCTCTGCTTAACCTCTCTGTATCCCCGTTTTCTCATCTCGGAAATGACATGGTAAAATATGAATACTGGCTGGGAGCCTCACAGATAGGCCATAAGGACCTATTGAGATGATGCATATGAATGGACTTCAAAAGCAATAACCCCCATGCAAGTGGATGCTGTTATTATTACATATTCTGTATTCTCATTACTTCCGCTCTCAGGTAACCAGTGTGCCTCCCAGGTGTCTAGAGCATCAGGTTTAAATTCCTCTGCTCAATCTACGGTAATTTGACTGGACCCCAGTTTCCACTATTATTACTGCTACACTAGTAGTCAACATTTTGTTTATTGAGCGCATGTTGTGTACCAGGCTCTGCTCTAAGAAATTTACATACCTCAACCCATTTAATCCTCACAACAACACTGTAAAGTAGGCGTTATCATCCCAATTTTGCATGTTAGGAAACAGGTAAAAGGTAAAAGATTAAGTGACTTGCCCAAGGTCACACAGCTAGGGAGTCGTAGTCGTAGAGCTGGAATTAAAATTCCCAAGTCTATGCCCTCAACCACTAGGCCATACTGCCTGTGCTATTTGCTCCATGGTGTTCTACCAGGACGCTCTTGCTCGCATTTGATATACAGCCTTGCTCATTCCCACCTCTCTGCCTTTGCTCAGCTCCCATTGAAAACATGGGAGAACATTTTTGAAGGCCCTTCTTTCTACTAAGCTTCCATGTTGCCTTCTCTGATCTGGTTCTAGGTTCTGGTCCAGCCACATAACCACTGCAGTGTGGGTGAGACCTATCTCCTCTGAGGGCCTCTGTTTCCTCACCTATCAGATAAGAGGATTGGCCTCCATCTCTAAGGACAAGCCTGTGGAATCCGAGTCTAACCACCCACAGTAACCTTTCCATCTCTGGGCCCCCCCACCCCACGTTACAGTCAACATCAGCCATAGCCCACAACTATTCTTTGCTCCGTGTACATTTTTATCCTGTGTCCCCGATTGTACTTAAGCTCACTGAGAGTTAGAATGGTGCCCTGCCCTTCTGGGTACTTTGCATGTTGCTGGGCAGAGTCCTTCTTTCCTTCTCTCCTCCCTTTTCCTTTCACCTTTCCTCTTCTTCCTCTTCCCTATCTTTTGAGACAATCTGCTTCTCATACTGACTGCCCCACCTGCCCCCAGCACCCTTTCCCCAGCTTGAGGCCCACTCCCCCGCCCCCTCCTAAATCCCTTACCAGGTTGCAAACTTAGTAGGAGCAGTCGAGGAGATGACAGAAAAATGGGAAACCTGGCCTGCCTCTGGGACAGAGACCGGGTCCTCTTCATCTTTCAGGGTGCCTGGCACATAGCTGGTGTGCTAAATTGAATTGACTAACCACTGGGCATTACAAAATTACACAATAATGTATACTTATTGTGATGTGCCTGAGTCATCAAGAAGAGGTTATGTTATAATTCGTAACATCTGTTATAAGAAGGCAGGGAAGTGTTTAATCTATTTTGGGAAAATTTATTTCCCAATTAAATACCTTTTTTTTTGCACTTGAAAAGACTGGTTTCAAGTGATCTGGAAAATTCATTTATGTGCAACACTCCATTTCCCGACAGTGGCGGATAGAAGAGGTGGGCCTCTTCATTGAGTGGCCTTTGCTTATCTGTCTTTATATAAATGCATCCTTGGTTGTTTCATATGTGTGTTGACTCCCCAAATGGTCCGTAGTCTTCCCATGACAGAGGTGGAGATTTCTTGGGATCCCATCATTGCACAAGCTTTGCATGCACAGCAGGCCCTTAGCAAATGTGCATTGGCTGGCCAACCCTGCTTCCTCCTTTTTGGTTCCATTGGCTGGGGTCCAGTGAGCTCTTTGAACTGTGTGGGCAAGCCATGTCGCCTGTCTTCCCCTTCTCCTCTTTGCTCTTCGCTCCCCTGCATCTCCTCCTCCCATATTTCCACTTCCCACCTTGGCTTTCTGTGCACACGTTTTTGCATATGAGAGGGTAGGTGTCTGTCCCACCATGGCCTCTTGGGCCTGTTAGATTCGCTCTCTCTGTTCTGCCCAGCTCAGAGCTGACTGGAGCAACCCCTCAGATGTTTCCTCACCAGCCTCTCCATATGGGGTAGACATCCTCTGATCTCCGTGATCGGGGGACCAGCCATCTTGGTTTGCCTGTGACTGAGGGGTGTCCTGGGATGTGGGACTTTTAGTTCTAAAATCAGGACTGTCCCAGTTTGCCTGGAACAGTTGGTAACCCTATCTGTGGAAATGCCCTGGGACTGCCTTTTCCCTGTGGGCAGCCCTAAAAAAAAATTTCTATGTATTTACTGTCCCCAGAATCTCCTCAGATGGCTGAGGTGGGACCCAGGTATCGGTGTTCTTAAAAGGCTCCGCTAAGTGCTTCTAATGAACACCAAAGGCTGAGAAATCATTGCCACCAAAGCAAAACCATGATGTAAGGTGTTGGTTTTTTATTTTTTTATTCATCCATTCATCCATTAAGCTTTCCACCTGGGATGCCCAATACCTGCCCTAGCTCAGGGACGTTTTCTGGGTCACGGTGAAAGGGCCCAGGCCAGGTCTTATGTGTCATTGTATCTGTGCCCACTCCAGGGCTATGGAGGCTTGAGGAGTGCAGCCCTGTGGCTCCTGCAGGCCCCTCCTGAGATGATACAGCCCTGGTGTCACCCTGGCTCCTGGGTGTCCATCACCACTGGCTCTGGGGCCTTATCTTCTCCAGAACTTTCTGGTTTCCAGCATGCGTGGCCTTAGATGAACAGAGGTGAGCTGCCCTGCTTCATGGTCTGTGGTTCCCTTCCAGGAAGCTCTCCACCTTCAACATGTACATGGAGAGCCACGGCTACAACGTGGAGCAGATGTGGAGAGATATTGAGGACGTCATCATCAAGACCATCATCTCGGCCCACCCCACCATCAAGCATAACTACCAAACCTGCTTCCCCAACCACACACTCAACAGTGCCTGCTTTGAAATCCTGGGCTTCGACATTTTGTTGGACTGCAAACTCAAGCCCTGGCTGCTGGAGGTAGGGAGGTTGGGGCGTGGGGCGAACACTGGGCACTGTTACTGGGGTCAATCAGCTTCAATTTCATCCCTCTGCCCTCTCGGCTCAGCAGGAGCATTTTAATCAATCTCCTGCACCAGTTCCTCCCGCCCTGCTTGCTGCCTGGGGCCTCTCCCTTAGCTGAAAAGTGGCCACCAGAGGGGGGTAGACGGCCGGGAATTAGAGAATTCCTTATGCCTTCTGGATGTCCACCCAGACTTGGAAACTCTGATCTCAGGAACAGAGTGATTCTAAAGACTGCTGTACCTTTTGTAATAGAGTCATCTCCCAGAAAGGGAGTGTTCTTCATCAAAGCTGGGTGGACGATGTTCAAGATCAGATGGGAGCTTCCAGGCCTGGCTTTCAGGAGCCTGGAACTCAGTTCCAAGCACCAACAGAGAATGGCCTGGTGTCTGTGGCCCAGGAATGGGTGGGGAACTACTCAGTGAGTTTCCTGCCTCCCCCAGACCCATGGGGTGGTGGGAGGAGGACGAAGAGAAACTTCTGGGTGGTTGCTTCTCTTCCCAATTGGTTTTGTGCTCAGCAGCCCTCTCAAGTGGCCATTCAGTATGCACACAGAGAGTGGAGGTACAGGGTATGGGCGTGAGATGCAAGTCAGAGGTGCCAGTGACAGCTGCCCTGACACAGAGCAGAGAAACCAGAATTATAGATCAGATTCCCGGGGCCCTGCCTTTTCTCCATTCCTAGCCCTTGTTCCCAGGAGTAGGTAGGAAGGAGAATATGGCTGTTTGGAGCTCTTACCCAAAGAACAGAATAAGCCACCAGGAGCAAGCCTTCAGAAACTGCTAGAAATCTTCAAATGTCACATAGTGCCTCTGAACAATATGGATTTTTCTGTGAGCAGGAATGAGTCCCATCTCTCCTCCCACCTGTCTTCCCCTCAACCCCCGTCAGTATTCCTAATGCGTCACTCCTTTCTACTCCCTCCGTCCCAGCCTGGCCCTTTGGACGGCCCCCCTCTGTCTGCTCTACGGAATGCACAGTGCACGTAAGAGAGTATGCACACCAGATGGAGGGGAAGCCAAAGACAGGGCACCCCCTGATGCTTCTCAAGAGGAAGGGACTGAAATAAAAGCTAGTTAAACTAGAGGGGTTTCCGCTTCCTCCTTTCCTCACTGTGGCTCCGGTCCAGACCCTATCTCCCTCTCCCTTCCACTCATCTTGGTGGTGAGGACGTGGGCTGAGGTGGCTCCCTGGAGGTGGCATTTTGCCTCACTCCTGGCCTTCGCTCTGGATAGCCCAGTCCCAACTGCCATCTTGCCGCCACAGGTCAACCACTCCCCGAGCTTCTCCACTGACTCCCGGTTGGATAAAGAGGTGAAGGACAGTCTGCTGTACGACACTTTGGTTCTGATCAACTTGGGAAGCTGTGACAAAAAGAAAGTGTTGGAGAGGGAAAGACAACGGGGGCGATTCCTGCAGCAATGTCGTTCTCGGGAGACCAGGTACAGTAGTGCCCCCCACACCCTGGGGAGCCCATTCTCTATGACTTCCCTGCTCCCAGTAAGACAGTTCAAGTTATGACTCACAGCCTACTAGTTATGTGGCCTTTATGTCACTTCTCTGAGCCTCAGTGTTCTTTCTGTGAAATGGAGCTAATGAGACAAGGTTGTTGGGGGATTAAATGAGATAATGTGTATAAAAGGCTCAGCATAGTGCCTGGTGCTATAACTTGTGTCAGAGACTATTAAGAATCTTGCCTAGTGTGAAAAAAGGTGTTATTTGTAATTATACCAGGACTACAGGTGAGAATGGGGACAAATGGCTACCCTGCTTAAACCATCACATAAAAGCTAAACTAGCCCAAAGAAACACTTTTGCACTTCTGCACCATAGAGAAAAAACAAATGTACTACTAGCTCTTCTATTTACTTCACTTAAGCAGTAACGAATGTGACATTACTGTCTAAGCTATCTTGTATTCAGAATATCATTTCAAGTTGAAGCATTTAAATGATACTTTTTTGCAAATTTCTTTTGTTTCTTAAGCGTTTTGGGGGAGTGTTTGGATTCTTAGTAAAAGTATACACAATTCTTGCTTTCCATTTAAAACTACCTTTTAATAGGTTCAGTTCATTTAGTATGTTCTGAACTTGAACAGTCTTTTTGTTTCCTTGTACCCATAGAAGGAGTCGTGTGTTTAAAAAATATTGGTAAAATATATACTTAGAAGTCTATCTTATAGAAACAAAACTCTAGTGTCCTTTGTATGCCTTTAATGTAATCTAAATAAAATCTTGCTAAGTAATGTTTCCAACTGTTACATTCATCTTATAGGTGAAGGTCAACCAAAAGTTTAAACGAAGACAAGTCAAAACCATGTAAATTGTTCTTCTGTTGGATATTTTTACCACTTTCTCTAGAAGGAAAAAAAAAAAAAGGAATCTTGCCTGGAGTCGGTGGGGATGGGAGTCAGTTCTAACAAATGATAATCCTATTTGGAAAATTAGTTTACATTTGCAGAATGTGGCGGTTTGAACAGTTTTACTGTGAATATTCCTTTGTTCCTAAAAGTAGGAGATTAAGTTATAGACATAACTACATATAATGGATATGAGTTTATTAATATCATATGAAGATTCAGGGATTACCGATACAAAATGCAAAACCGTTCCTTTATTTTTACAAAAAGAAAGATTTGTCTGTCCTGCCCCATGTTACTGTGTTGGCAGGAGCTACCATCTCCTGCTCCCCACTGGGCAGCATTTGTCTTTTGACAGGGCCTTTGGTTCTGTAGGGTCTAGTGTCAGAGGAGACACAATCATTCTGGTCAAGGAGATGCCTTTGTTGCTTTTCAGATCCCATTGTGTCCCCCTGCCCTCCTCGTGAGCCGAGCCAGCCTGATCCTTCAGGATTGAGCTGGAACTGGGGCAGTAGCATCTGTGTTTGGATCGCTCTGTGTTTCTCAGAGCACTTTCACGTGTAACGTCTTCCCTGTAAGGAGGGTGGTAGGCAGGTAGCATGGGGTGTTGTATGGTCCCATTCTTGGAGCTAAGGAGACCAAGGCTCTGGAAGGGAAACTGACTTGTACAAGGTCATCTCTCTGGTAAGTGGCAGGTCTGGACCCAGAGTCCGGTGGGCGTGCTGCCTGGGATTCCAGGGTGCTTTCCACTGTGCCAGCTTTCTCTAAACTCCTCAAGAAGGAGGCAGTTTAGGAGCAGTCAGGGCCTGCCTCTGACCCAGTCTCCTTGTCATGACCTGGCCCTCGATGGCTCGGTGGCTCTTGGTTTCCCTGCTGTAAGAGGGGCCTATCATTCCTCCCTTCCTGACCTCCAGCTCCCCAGGGGGCTGTGAGGAAGCATGAGATCATCACAGCTCATAAAATCTCATCAAGCCCATCCAAGAAGCCCTCAAATTTAGCAAAACACAAGCTGCTGTTCCCAAGAGAAGGGTAAGAAGGGCTGTGATTGGGAAAGTGGTGACAGTCCGCCTTGTCAGAGCTAAGCCAAGAGGGAAATGGGTGTTCCTTGTAACAGGAGAGAATTTGGAGCTGTCAGAAAGACTGTTCTAACGAGCTCCTAGTACATTATGACATTGGCTGTCCTGGAAGGACTAGAATCTCCTTTCAGGGAAACACTCACGCATTTATTTAGGAAATACTGACTGACCCATGTTGTGTGCAAAGCCTCCGTCTGGCCCTAGATGACATCCAGCTTGGCCATATTCCTTCCAAGCTCTGTCCCAAGAAAACCTAACTGCAGCCCTGTGTTCTGCTTTCCAATAGGATCGAGGAAGTCAAGGGTTTTCAGGCCATGCGTCTAAAGAAAACTGAGAAATATGAGAAGCAAAACTGTGGAGGGTTCCGCCTCATTTATCCCAGTCTGAATTCGGAGAAGTATGAGAAATTTTTCCAGGACAACAGCTCCCTCTTCCAGAACACTGTTGCCTCTAGGGCTCGGGAGGTGTGTGCCCGGTAGGAAAGCTCCCAGGGTGAGGTGGGTGGGGTGTTGGGAGGCTGGGGGGGATTGTGCTTGACCTTCTGGGTGACTGGCCTGGGGTGGCGGGGAGGGTCACTGAGCTTCAGTCCCCAACTTTGAAGTTGCCAGGGGAACATTTGCTTTAGTCTCGCAAGGACCAGGAATCATAAGATTCCCTGGTGTGGGTGTCATTAAGGAGATGTGTGGCCGTTTCTAGAAACTCAGCCCTGAGACAGGTGCTCCCATTCCGCTCCAGAATGCCCAGCCCCTCAGAGTTGCCTCCTGGATTCCTGCAGCTGTGATATCTAAGAGCTGGAAGGGACTCATCCCATCCAGTCTGATCCCCACCCACCACCTCATTTTATGGGAGGGAAAGCCAAAGCAGAGAAGGGACTATACAGCAATAGTGACAGAAGAGGGACTAGAACCCCTGTCTCCCGGCTCATGCCACTGCCTTATTACAACTACGTCATTGGCCAGAAAGGCCTAGCATATGAAGTAGTCCAACATGGGAGCCCCTGACTTTAGTCTCCTATGAAGACCCTCTTCCTAGCACCTGCCATGTATGGGATCTGGCCTACCTGGAAGTGGAGAGAGAGAGGGATATGGTGCAGTGGGGTATAGCCCCCTTACTGTGCATCTCTCCTTGGATGCTATTCCCCGGACTAGGAATGGCGTAGTTGGAAGAATGACTTTCTTCTCCACATCCTGCTCTGCCACCTTCAGTCATTTGTGCAGACTGGACACGCTGGGGGAGGGAATGTGGAGCACTCCACCTCTTTGCCCAGTCTTGTCCTCCCCTCAAGGGGAATATCTGCATTCGCAGCCCATCTCTAACCTACATGACACTCACTGTTCCTCAATGAGCAGGCAACTGATCCAGGAGCTGAGACTAAAACAGGAGAAAAAATCCTTCCAAACGAAAGAGAAGAAGGTAGAGATGCAGGGGGAAACATCAGGCGAGCCAGCGAGAGGCAAGAGCGAGAGGAGCTGGCGACAGAAACAACAGCAGAAATGCAAGGCTGCCACCACCTACGCCTCCAAACAAGTAAACCCAGAAGGGAGGGGAGCACACATGCCCAGCATCCTTCCCCGGCTGGGGCCAATCCTTGGGGGGGGTGTTGAGGAGACCACTACTCAGAGGCCAGACACACTGAAACGGGGCTGCATGGAGGGCCGTGCCACAGGAGGGGGAGCCTGGAAGTCTCAAGGAGTCCGGTGTCCTTCAGATGATTCCTCCACCTGGGCAGAGAGGACTCTCACTGGTCTGTCCTTCTTGCCTCCTCTAGTAGGAGTAAAAGCAGCTGGGAGGCCAAGCGCGATCCCCATGTAGGGAGCAGACTCTAGGACCACGTGAACTCATGGTCCCCAACTCCAGTTTGGGTTGGAATGCCCCCCTCGAGCAGGCCAGGGACATAGCTGAGAGAGGAGGCCACAGGGAAGAGCTTCTGGGAGGCAGGACCTTTAGGACGTTACATGGGGTGACTGAACACAGCTGGGTCCTTCCAGCCTGCTCTCTGCTCCAGTGTGGACCAGCCCGCAGGCTGTGGGCCAGCTGTCCAATTGTCTGATGATCTGAATCTTTGCACTCTCCTCTCTGCGTAGCTCTCTCTTCCAGCTGAGTGGAAAGATTCAGTTGACTTTTCAGTCCATCTCCTCTTTCTCAAAGACTCACCTGAAAGGAGAGGATTAGAGCAGATTAGTTTTTTTTTTTTCCAATGACTTTGTTAGGACCATAGACCTTTTGAGAATCTGATAAAAGCTATGGAATCTCTTGCCATACAGTACACAAAGATATGCTTTTAAAACTGCAGTTTCAAATGGCTCAAAGACCCCATGAAACCATCCATGAGCCTTCTAGTGGTCCCTGAACTGCAAGTTAAGAGCCCCAGATTAGAGAGACTTTGATACCAATTGCTTTCCCTCTCCTCCTCATCTCCTTTGTGCCTACCCTTGGGTGCAGATGACTCTGGAGGTGGACAGAGCTGGGTTCCTACAGGCTTTGTGTTTGGTTTCCTTTCTTCCTTCTTGATATCTCCAGCCATTGACGTTAGTGTCCTTCATGCCTGACTTGCTCTTGAGTGTCAGGGATGCAAAGAAAAATGAGACAGACAGCAGCCTTGACCAGGAGGCTCCCAAGAAGGAGGCTGGCCCTACTCCCCCCAAGCCTACGTCTGCGAGGCATCACAGCTTTGTACCCGTCCTGAGGGATTCAAGCCTTGTCAGCTGCTCCAGGCTGGAGCTCAGTAAACCCATCTCCGGAATCAAGGAAGCCAAGTCTGCTTCTACAATGAACATATTCCCTGGCACCGTGGTAAGTAGAGACATCTACCTCCCCAGAGAGCTGAGCTCAGGAGGCAGTGGTAGGAGCCTTGCTTTGTGGTCCCTTCCCTGCCCCTGACTTGCTCTGGCCCTTTGAGTAAGCCACTTAACCTCCCTGGGCCTCAATTTCCCCACTTGTGAAGCCCAAGTTGTGGAATGGCATACCTGCCAGGAGTATAGACTTAGACTTTTAGAGCTTTTAGAAAGGCTATATCATGCATCCCCTCTTTTTAGGCAGATTACCACCAGTTTTCTAGGGCTGCCATAACAAATTACCACAAACTTGAGGCTTAAAACACAAATTTATTCTCTCACAGTTCTGGAGGCTAGAAGTCTGAAAACAAGGTGTCAGCAGGCCCATGCTCCATCTGAAGGCTCTCGAGGGAGGATCCTTCCTTGCTTCTTGCTGGTGGTTGCTGGCAATCCTTGACATTCTTCGGCTTGTGGCAGCCGAACTCCAATCTCTGCTTCTGTCGTCAATGGACTTCTTCCTTGTGTTTCTCCTCTGTGTGTCTTCTCATGGCCTTCTCATAAGGACATTAGTCATTGGATTTAGGGCTCATTTCAATCCAGTATGACTTCATTTTAACTTGACTAATTATGTCTGCAAAGACCCTATTTCCAAATAAGGTCACATTCTGAGGTTGTACATGAATTTGGGAGTGGGGGGCACTATTGAACCCAGTCCACCACCTAAACAGTGTTTCTCAAACTCCACTGATGTATGGACACCTTTTGAAGGAAAGAAAACTCTTTCAGATCCCCATTGTAGACTTAAATTATTTTTATAAATATATACAAGCATAGAACCAGATATAAAATCTTTATACTTGTAGGTCTTATGCAACTACAAAACCAAACCAAAGCAAAACAAACAGTGCCAATAAAATTCACATCAAAAATATTAATTTAATGTGACAATTGATTTTCTATTTTTGCAGAAACTAAGTCACCACATGAATGTGGTACTGATAGTCCTAGCACAGGTTCTTTTGTGTTCGTACAGTTAGGCCCACCAAGGGCTATGTGGTGACTCTACTGTAGCTACTGGGAAGTCTTCAGCATTCTTGGGCCTTCACTTGGTCCAAGTGCAGTAGAGAGTAGTGCAGTGTTTTTCAAATTTCTAACCATAGCCCACAGTAGAAATCCATTTTATTTCACAGTCCATCACATACACATGTAACTGGAAAAAAGTTTCTAAAGCAATGCTTAGCCATACTACATGTGGTGACTCGTTTGATATTTTCGATTCTGTGCTATTCTCTTCTATTCTGTTGTTTTGGAAATACCAGTTACAACCCACTAAATTAATTTCGTGACCTACTAATAGGTTTACAACCTGTCGTTTGATAAATACCTTTAAGAGAGGATGCTTTGGAGCTTCATGACATTGGATTGGGCAATGATTTCTTGGATATGACACCAAAAGCACAGGCAACAAAAGCAAAAATAGATAAGTGGGACTATATCAAACTTAATCAACAGAGCGAAAAGGCAACCTGTGGAATAGGAAGAAATATTTGCAAACCATATATCTGATAAGGGGTTAATATCCAGAATATATGAAGAACTTTTACAACTTAATAACAAAACAAATAACCCAATTAAAAAATTGGCAAAGGACTTAAATAGATGTTTTTTCAAAGTGAAATAAGCCAGTCACAAAAAGACAAATACTGCATGATTCCACTTATACGAGATAACTAGAGTAGTCAAACTCTTAGAAATAGAAAGTAGAATGGATGGTGGTTGCCAGGGGCTCTGGGGAGGCAAAAAAAGGGAGCTGTTTAATGGGTATAGAGTTTCAATTTTGCAAGTTAAGAAGGTTCTAGAGATCTGTTGCACAACAAGGTGCGTATAGTTAACACTGCTGTACTTAAAACTTAAAAATGGTTACAATGGTAAATTGTATATTATTATTATTATTTTTTACCACGCACACACACAAAAGAGTAAAGAGTATGTTTGGGGATCTGGTTGCCTCTGTTTAGATTCTGGAGTCTCCTTTTATTATATATATGACTACCGTCAAGTCATCCTAATTTCCTTCAGTCTCAGTTTCTCCATCTGAAAAAATGGAGTTTTAATAATAGTACCTACCAGTGGATTACTGTGAGGAGTAAGTGAAAGGATCCATGAATGCTGAGTGGTGTTTGACACACAAGACTCAGTAAGCATTAGCTATTATTTTAATACTACTGCTACTTCTTGTATTATTATTATTATTTTATTTTGTGAGGAAGATCAGCCCTGAGCTAACATCCATGCCAATCCTCCTCTTGTTGCTGAGGAAGACCAGCCCTGAGCTAACATCTATTGCCAATCCTCCTTTTTCTTTTTTTTTCCCTCTTTTCTCCCCAAAGCCCCAGTAGATAGTTGTATGTCATAGTTGCACATCCCTCTAGTTGCTGTATGTGGGACGCTGCCTCAACATGGCTGGACAAGCAGTGCGTCGGTGCGCGCCCAGATTTGAACCCCAGCCGCCAGTATTGGAGCACACGAACTTAACTGCTAAGCCACGGGGCCGGCCTCACTATTGCTACTTCTTAAGACTGCTTTTATTCTTATGAGAAATTCTCATTAACCTAAGACTTAAAGCAGTACTACTTAACCCTAAAGAGATTTTTAAAAATAAGGCAGCAACATCTTATTATTATTGTTATTATTATTTTGAATTTCATGTGCAGAGGATTGATTTAATCAAAATCCTTGGTTCAGGATGCTGTATCATACCTGGTTCTTTCAAGGCCTTCGCCTGTTTTATTTATTTACTTCCTCTTTTATCCCCATCCTCACCTCCCATTCTCCTATCCACCATCTTTTGTTAGTATGTTTCTTTGCAAAGTAGGGATTTTTTGAATGCATGCATTTAAAATTTGTTTAAATGTGATTGAATTATTTATCTCATTCTGTGTCCTATTTTTTTCCTTATTGAGCCTCATTTTCCTTTTCTTTTTTAAGATTAAATTTACATGCATTAAAAGCTGAAATTTTTTTTTTTTGAAACTCATAATTACTTTTATTTCATTGTTTGGTTTTGGTTTAAGTTTTGTTTTGTTTTTATAGAAAAAGATAGTACAATTTGGTATGTAGTGACAAAATGAATATTTACAAAGTTATACTGAAAGATGGTTGAAAAGGTTTTGCCACCTGAAGTGACTTCTGTCTCTAAATGATTCTTGGTCAAAGATGACTAAATGGGCATCTTTGGCATTACAGGGCATCTACAAATTCAGAAACACTTAGTGATAAGAAACAAAGTAAATGAATAAAATGCTCAAATCTAAACTGTACAATTCTGACAAATAAATACACCCATGTAACCCATACCTCATCACAGTATCGAACTTTCCGATGTCTTCAAAAAATTCCCTCCTGTTCTTTCCCAAGCAATTGCCCCCGTGCCCCCTGACCTCTGCATCCCTCCCCGAGGGATCCATTATCCTGACTCTGACTTTTTTCATCTTAGATTAGTTTTGCCTGTTCTGGAATTTTATGTAAATGAAATAATATAGTATATATTCTTTTGTGTCTGGCTTCTTTAGCTCAGTATTATATCTGTGAGATTCATTTACGTTGTTGGGGTATATCAATAATTTGTTCTTTATTGCTGAATTGTATTCCACTGTACAAGTGTACTAGTTTGTTTATCATTCTTCTGTATTATAGTAGATCACCTATATATATATAATGTATAGATGATCTACTGTATAGTATGGACATTTGGGTTTTTCCTAGTTATTGTTTTTTTATTGCTATTGTGATCAAATCTCCTATGAACATTCCTGTACAATGTTTTTTTATAGATATAAGTTTTCATTTCTCTTATAACTACCTAGGAGAAGGATTGCTAGGTCAAAGGGTAGATCTATGTATAACTTTATAAGAAACTCCAAAATCTTTATTTAAAGTGATTGTATCATTGTACATTTGAGCCAACAGTGAATGAGAATTCCAGTTGCTTCATCTTTGTCAATATTTGGTGTTACCTGTCCTTTAAATTTTAGCCACTCTAATGGCTATGTTGTGATTTCACACTGTGGGTTTAATTTGCATTTCCCTGGTGATTAACGGTGTTGAGTACTTTGTCAAGTGCTTATTGGTCATTCATATATCTTTCTTTGTGGAGAGTCTGTTCAAGTTTTTGTCTCCCTCCCTTTTAAAAAATAGGATTATTTATCTTTTTACGATTGAGTTGTAGGAATTCTTTATGTATCCTGAAACTTGCCTATTCTTTTGCTTAATAGTGTCTTTTGATTAGTGAAATTTTTTAATCTTGATGAATTTTATTAATTTTTTTATGGTTATTGCTTTCTGTGTTCTATATAAGAAATTTTCATGCACCCCCCAGGTCACAAAGATACCTAGGTTTTTCCTAAAATATTTATAGCTTTAGCTTTGTGTATAGGTCCATGATTCATTTCACATTAATTTTTGAGTATGCTGGGTGATGGGAACCAGGGTTGTTTTTTCCATATGTATATCTGGTCCCAGCACTATTTATTGAAAAGACTTTCTTTTCTCATTGAATTGCTTTGATGCCTTTTAAATTCCAGTAAGTTTTTGTTGTTGTTGTTGACTCTACGATTTTCATCATAAACAATTATGTCGTCTTCAAATAAAGACAGTTTTACTTCTTTCTTTCAAATTTTTATGCCTCATTTCTTCTTCTCACCTTATTGCAATGTCTAGGATTTCTAGGACAATGTTGAATAGGAGTGAAGAAAGTAGACATCCTTGCCCTGTTTCCAATCTTAGAGGGGAAACATTCACTCTTTTACCATTAAGTATGATGTTAGCTGTAGGGTTTTTCTAGATGTCCTTTATCAGGTTGAAGAAGGTCACTTCTATTCCTAGTTTGCTGAGGATTGTTTTAAATCGTGAATGAATATTGAATTTCGTCAAGTGCTTTTTTGGTATCAATTGATAGGATTGTATGGTTTTTCTACTTTAGCCTGTTAATGTGTTGGATTACATTGATTACTTTTTGAA